GTCCAGCATGCTGTACTGCTCCCTCCCAGCGAAGCTCTCCGCAAGCTATTTCCATGCTTTCCTGTCTGTCTAGCATGCTGTATCGCTCCCTCCCAGCAAAACCCTCCGCAAGCTATCTGCACGGTTTCCTATCCGTCCAGCATGCTGTCTCGCCCTCCCAGCGAAGCTCTCCGCAAGCTATTTCCTCGGTTTCCTGTCCGTCCGGCATGCTGTCTTGCTCCCTCCCAGCGAAGCTCTCTGCAAGCGATTTCCACGGTTTTGTCTCCGTCCAGCATGCTGTCTCGCTCCCTCCCAGCGAAGCTCTCCGCAAGCTATTTGCACCTCCCCTTCCTTCCTCCCTCCCTTCCTTCCTCCCTTCCTTCCTTCCTCCCTTTCTTCCTTCCTCCCTTCCTTATCTTCCCCTTCCTCCCTTCCTTCCTTCCTTCCTTCTCTTCTCCTTCCTTCCTCCCTTCCTTCCTTCCTCCTTTCCTTCCTTCCCATCTCCGTCCAACACTCCGTATCGCTCCCCCCACGGCAAACGAGAACCCAAACGAGAACCCAAGCATCGGAGATGCTTTTGGGAAAACAGTTTCTGAAGGTCTGAGGGGAAAGCTGGGACAAGGACACCAATGAATGCAAGAAGCTGTTGGGAGGTTAAGGGTGAGGAAGCAAAGGTGATGAAGACAATGCAAGCAAGAAGTGAGCGGAAAAAAATACTGTAGGTCTGTAGGATTCTGTAGGCGTGTCTTTTTTGGTACTCAAAGCAGGTGACATGCGCCCGGTTCCTTTGCGTCAAGAAATCGCACTTGGCAAATGAAATGTGAAGAAATAATTTTGGGGTGCGCTTCGCTACTCTCACATCATTTGAATCCACGATGTTGCTGAGAGGCTACGGCAGGGGGATGTTTAGATGATGAGACCCGTGAATTCAAGAAGTTGTTGAGAAGCTACCAACAACGAATGATAACGGATGCAAAAAAAAAGTTGGTGCGAGGCCAAGGTGCGAAGGTTCGGAAATAAAACACATGAATGCCAGAAGTTGCTGCGGGCGTAAGGCGGCGAAGTCTCGATTCTTCCCACCGATACATGCCAAGAATGCTGGAAATTTAGCAAATAGAGTTGTGAAAGGCCAAGGAGTGGGAAAACTGGCCAAGGAATGGGAAAACTTGGAAAATTCACCAATGAAGCAGAAAGGCCGAAGGGGGGAAGGCAGATGTTAGATCATTGAACCAGTGCGCAAGAAGTTTCTGACTTGCTGAGGGCGAGAAAGAAAATCATGAAGCCGAGCTGCTCAGAGGTTAAACTCTAAAACTGCGAAACGGCGCTTCCTTGCTTTTCTGGGGGCTTATACTGTAGTATGTTACATAACTAAACGCAAAAACCAGGTACAGACCGGTTCAGCACACATCTGTTTTCAGTTTGAACATTGGAATCGTCATGGGCTTTGAGATGTTTTGAGCTGAGCCAGAAATGTTCCCGCCTGAAGAAACAAAAGATACGGCGGACTGTAGCGAGCGCCGGACTGCATTTCAATTATAGCGATCGCTAGCGACCATGTATTTACATGTTGCACAATTTACCGAAGAAAGTTTAGAAGTCAAACTTCCGACAATATCGACAAATGAAAAGCAGAGATGGGAAGAGTGAGAGAAGAGAAGAGAAGAGAAGAGAAGACAAGAGAAGAG